AGGTGTTAAATCCAAACTTTAACTCACAAAATCAAACAGCTAACGTTTCGACGGGTAGTCCTCGTCAGAGCCTAGAAAAGTCAAAGTTGTTTACGTTCCAATCAGTCAGACACTTCCATCACTTTTCTAAATTGTCAGATCTAGATTTTGATCGCATCAAGCACAAAGTCAACCTTAAACATACCCACCGTATTAATCACATGTCTTCCACTGATTGAACAGGTGAAGAACAACGGAACAGTATCACATAGGCCAGTAATGCACTATACCCATCAAAGCAGCAGTCTTATATACTGACTCATATCACGGGTGATTACGAGGCATTCTTCTCTGAGGTTCACAGCTGGATTGGTCGTGTTTGTCCAGAACGCCTCAAGTATCTTTCGCAATGATGTTTTTTGCTTCTGCTCAATGAAGGTGACCTCTACATCAAACCTCCGGCATGCTTTTAGGCTCTATGTATACTTGGGAGGTGTTTTTACGAGCATAGCGCATGTCAGCTAGGTGTTCCTCTAAGCGAGCATAGAGCGGCGTACTCGTTTCGCCAAAATATCTATCGTCGCACGCTTGGCAAGAGATTAGTTACACTGTGCCTACGCTCATGCAATCACCGTCTCTGCCGTAAAGACACATTCGGCAGTTTTTGTTGTGCAGAAGGCGGTCTATAAGCGATTACGAAGTAATTGGCACCTAAGAGTATTTGGTGGTATTTCTGTTACTGACACCAGGTGTTCTAAGCCTGCTCTTTTCAAACAACGTTCTATAGCCGTACTTATCTCATTTGAAAAGAACGGGACAATATACGGATCTTATTTTCTCTAGAATTTCCGTGCAAGGACGTGTTATTTCCTCTAAACCTAAGCCGAGGGCTACAAAGTTGTAGCCAATGGAAATGGCTATTTCCCGAGCTAGCTTTTCGAATTCTCTTCTCTGCTCCTCTTCGGTGCACACACCGGCGGCTGTTTGAAACATGTTTTTCACTAACCCCTTCTTTATGTGCGAAGGATGAGAGGAGAGATAGTGAAGCAGGATATTTTTATTACTTGGCTTTCGGTACCACTTTGTAATATAGCTCTATTGCTTAAGTTTATTTACACGTTCAGAAAAGGAAGCCAATTATCTTTCGGTGTTTCACGGGTGAATTTTAATACTCTGACTGTTTACTTAGCAGCCGAAAACATCTGTCTAGCTCTCCTTGAGTCGAACAGATCACTAAGCAATCATCTATATACCTACGGTAGAGTGGAGATCAATCACTGGAGCTTCTACTTTGGACATGAAGGCACTAGCTAGCTTAGGCGCCAGTCGCTGCCCCATTGCCAACTCTCTAGTCTGTGCAAAGTACTTCCCGCACCATCTGAAGATTGAGCAATTCAGACACTCTTTCAAGAGTATCATGTATTGCTAAATCGATGAGCCAAACATGTTGACAGCTCCTTAATGTTTTGTAAGAAGCTCGTGTGTGACTTATAATGCAGAGTCATTTGGGACGTGTGTATAGAGAGAAGTGACGTCAAATGACTCCATTACGAGCGCTTATATGGATTCGCGTTGGGCAGACTGTTTGAAAACATCTGAGTATTAGTCAGATGGGCTGGAATGTGTCCTAGCAACTGGGATGTTATTAACGTTAAGAACCATGGTATCCTATCCGCAGGTCCGTCTACACAGCTGATGATGGGTCTAACTTTGAATGTGGATGGATTATTAGACCTCAGTTATGTGTTTGTTTTATAAGCAAGTGTAAGACGGGACATGTTGGTGATTGAATTTTATATGAGTGGTGATAGATGGTCCCAAGCCTGTCGCTTTTGCCGTTTGGACCCACTCATTGTTTAATTTGCGGTATTGCCTCCTAAATTACTTTTCAGAAGATGATCGGTAAAGCGAAGTATCTTTGAAATGCCTTTTAGTTATGTCGATATCTAGCTGTCGGGGAATGAGTACAAACTCTCCACCCTTATCGCTATCAAGTAGCTGATTTTTTGGGATCATATAGTTAAACTTGTTAGTATGAATAAAATATCATAGATATGTTTAATGATGGTTCGAAATCTAGTCTTTCTTTATATATACTTGGTTTTTTCGCTTTGGAGCCTTGTATTATAAGTGGAGCAATTACATTATCTCTCAAGAAAACCTTGTTAAAGTCTCTTCTATTACTTTGAGTATTTAGTGGCGATGGATTCTCAGTATTGACGAGAACAGTATGAGTTACGAGTTCTTTTCCGTTTGCTAGCACAGATTTCTACGCGTATCCCATTTGCTGGGAAGAAATTTTTCATAAAGAGTATTAGTAATCATTTGAAAGCATAAGTTTTTGATTAGCACGGTGAGTGGTCGATAATTCAAAAAACCTTTCTCAGCGCCTTAAAATTCAAAATAAAATCATGCCTCACATTTCCTGCACGATTCAACTATTATTTCGCAGAAAGTACGAAAAGAGCATGAAAGTGTAGAGAAAATCTTCCAGTATGAGAATCAGGCATTTAATCTGAAGTTTTTTTCCAAAGCGAAGAAGCAATTCCTAATCAATAACAAGAATCACACTTCACAGTGGCGCCATAGATCGATGATCTCGTCAGCTCTCCACCCCTCCCCCCCCCCCCCCCCCCCCTTCCCCCCTCTCCTACTCCGCTGCTCGTAAATTGGCCAAAAACCACTTGCTCGCGTATGCGAATCATTCTTATTTTTCCAACTACACTGCAGACAACCGGTCTCTCTAGAAAATAAGCATAGCGTTGAAATCAGCAAATCTTAAGCTATTCAATGGTTGCTAGTAGCTTAGAAAAATCCCTGTTTTACGAAAATGCATTCCTTGCATTGTAGCATCATAGTAAAGACTTTTTTGATACCGGCTACGTACTGCACTAGCTAGAGATTTAAACTTTCGAATAATTACTAGAATTCTTCATGATAACTTCCGGTACTTTTCCGTCATCTGCTCGCCGGTTCGACGCTTCAGAAAAAGCTTATTCTGCGCTTGTTCACGATGATTAAGTAATCACGCGGTAGTTTAAGTCATGGTCCTGAGTTGATCTATCGTTTGGACCTTGAAACTATAAGAGAGAGGCCCAGATAAGCGAGAAATCTATGAATAAGAAGCAAATCATTATTTTTGCTCTTTCAGCACAACAACAAGGCCTTTTTGAAAGTGAAACACTCCACTCAAAATTTTTCAATTTGAGCTACTGATTATCATTTATGAGATAATTGTTTAAACATTGAAACGATCAAAAAATATGTTTTTCTCAATGAATGGAGTTGAAGAAAGGGTAGTGGAAGTGTTTCACTTTTGCGAAACCCAGTGTTCTTCTGGCTGTTACAGCGTAATACCAGGCTCTTCAGGAAAATCAAATAAATCGCTAAAACCTCAAGGTTTGATCTATCAATTTGCTGTGGACGCTGCGTGAGAAAATCTTTGTTCAGCGAAAGATCTTTCAATGAAAATCACAATTTTAGTCTTGCTCTTTCAGCGCAATAGGAAGGCTTTTTTGAAGATTAGATTACCATTCAAATTCTTTCGATAGCCTGCCCCCACCTTTGATAGGCAGGAGCGTCGCGCTGTCGCGTTTGCGGCACTCGCTAGCTGAGGCATATGCGTCTTTGTGCAAAACTGCCGTTGCGTCTGCGCCTTCTTGCAGAAAGCGCCTTCATTCCACGCCGCCGTCTCGGCAGAGGAAAGTACGCAATGGGTATGGACAACCAGTTACTAGAAAGGTGTCACTATCATTAGCACTATCACCATCACTTTCACTACCACTGTCACTATCACTATAGCTATCACCATCATTATCACTATCATCGTTATCTACATTATCATTATCAGTGTTATCATTATCACTATCATCACTACCACTATCATTACTATCACTATCACTGTCATCATTATCACTATATCGCTATCACTAATCACTATCACTATCATCCATACCAATATCTTCACTAATCACTATCACTATCACTATCACCACTATCACTATCACTATTATCACTATCACCACTATAACTATCATCATTACTACTGTTATCAATACCACTATCATTATCAACATCATCGTTATCACTAATCGCCATCACTTTGGTCATTGTCTTCATCATCATTACCACTTTCACTATCATTATTACTATAATTATCATTATCAGTTTCACTGCCATTACATAATCGCTATCATTAATATTATCACAATCATTATCGAATAGAAAGTATGCTTTATTTTATCAGCTACAAGGTCAAGTTGGTCAGTGCAATGTCTATGCATTGAATGGAATGCACTGTGTATGTGCCTTTATCAGATCACACAAACAGCTCAAGGGTTGTAATTATTATCACTTTTGCAGTCATTAGCATTATCGAAGGCATAATCGTTATCACCACCATAGTCATTTTCATTAGGTTATCATTTAGCGATGTAGTCTTGACGTTGAAACATAAGAAATGTAGACGAAATATGGAAGTTATAGATGTTCTCTTTGCTGAGAATATCTCTGTAGAAAGTTTTTCAATTGAATTTCATCATTTGATGAAAATGCCCTCTCAGAACCATCTTGGTTCGTCTCCCCGCCTCCATCATGCTGACTGGAGTCTGCCTTCTTACGAAATTCGCCTCCTTTCTCAAGGGACGCATGCCACCATTACAGTAACTGAAGAGATTTGATGTCACGCGGTGTGGGATGGAACGTCCCACATGTCCTCTGCGTGTTAATTTGTGCTGCCAAACGACCATTGGAACATTGAAAAAGACCATGAAATTCGTTTTTTACGAGGGATCGGAAACAGTGAGCAGATAACGGAGTACCAAATTTTCCGTTTAGTGAAAGCGATGGGCACTAAAAATAATGCAGTAAAAAACAGTAGAAATATCGTGTATTAGTCATTACAGTGGTTGTCAGCTCAAGTGGGTTTATAAAGTGAAATCGCGTATCCGACCAAACCTGCTAACGGTCGGTGGCTGACCGCCAACATACAGATGTTGAAGAATGAAAGGTGGTGCTAATGTACTGCGCTGGTGTAGTGGTAGCACGCGTTCCCGGTATGGATGAAACACGGGTTTGAATCCCGTGTGAGGTTGTATCTTTGTTCACCACTCAATTCTCTTAGGGATATATGAAACATTGTAGCACTGGGAAAAATGCGGTAAAAATGCTAGGAATTTTGAAAGCGATAGGCTTAGAAATCTGGGCTATGAAACGGAAAAGTACTGAATTTTGTTATAAAACTACCACATTAGCGTTGGAGCAGGCACCAACAGGCTCCCTCCGTAGTCGTCTGAACAGCCCGCTAGCTAAAAATGGCGCGATCCACAATGGGACATAAACACTATAAAGATAGAAATTTGTGGATGAACGTCACCGAAACATAGAAAATATAGCGTGAAGCAAATATGAGTTTATGTATGGCCGGACTCGAAAGCTTTTTTGCTATAATAAACCAAAATCTCGCTTGCCATTTGCGAGAAAAATTCTCAGTGTTTAATTCACAAATGGAGGAGAATCGGACAGTGGATTCTGAAATTAAAATCACGATCAGTGTATTAGAAGAAGAAAGAGTCTTGTCGCCACGTTTAATTGATGTGAATAAGAAGTGCAGATTTGTTCAAGACGTTGATTTATATTCAAACTTTTGTGTATACACTATCATTCCAGAGATATTTGTGGCACTGCCGGCCACAAATACAGAACCAGCCTCATAGGGGCGGCAGCACGCCGGTCATTACACCCTCTAAATGTTTCATCATTTATTGAACAGCCTAGTTATTGACGCTTGTTCTCAGCTGATGAAAGTCTTTTCACATTTGCTTAGTCCAAATAGTCCAGTTCCACTTGGGTCCTTTTGCGATGCTTGTCTTGCGAAAAAACGGCTCGGGAAGTGTAAGGTCAATGGCGTTGCCCACTACCTTGGCACCACACCAATGGGCCAGTGAAGCTAAGAAAATATAGTGTGCTAAATTGTACGCCCGAAACGATCGACATTACTATCACGATTCTACCATTCATATTCAAAATAGTTGAGTTTTACGACGTGTACATAATTTTACGGAGATGATTGTCATAGTGGTAGATCACTGCTCTCTTGCGTAATTATTTCGTTGGCAAAATTTGTTGACCATATAAATCTCGACTATGCTAGATTAACAAGGATAATCGCAAAAAATATTCTTTGAAAAGGGAAAGCGTGCTGTATACGATACTTTCTCACCTAGATATCTCTCCTAAATTAACGGTGTCAAAAATCCTGCTACTGCACACATCAACAACTTTGTAGGATGCAAGCACAAGTACGAATATGTTCTGCGACGGCTCCGCGCTTTTATTACGGGAGATATCGCGATTTGACCTGAACTTTGTTATCTTAACATGTGAAATTTCAATCATGATCCTATCAAATGCTCCCAAAGAATAAATGATCCAAAGGATTGCTAATGATATGATTGATAAGGGGTCTATATGCGAGTAGTACCGTCATCTCTTCACTTTCCTCCTCTCCATCCCATCAGCTAGACTCACCATGGTGATTTCTTATTAGCTCGAGTCTTTCAGCTTAGTAGTCATAGTTTTATTCTTGCACATTCTCCGTAAACTTTTTAGTGTGAGTCTTTTTTTCTCAGAATTAATATTGAACTTCCAGTCTCCTATCAATGGACGCTAAAATCTCCTAGGATCTAGTCGATCCAGCTGTCACGGAGCCGAAGTTGGACAATACACAGGTCACGCTATCGTTAGAATAATTTTGCTTTTCCAAACTTAAAAAGCTGTTTTCTTTTAAATAGTTATTATTTAGGAGCAAGACTCCTTACTAACGGCTGTGGCCTCAGACGAGCTTCCCTCCAAGAAAGAGGTGGATCGCATTGTGAGACTTCTTTTCATCAGAATTTAAGTGTCTTCTCAAAAACTTTCATCTTTCACAAGCCCTGCTTATGATCATTTTTGAGCGAAATTTTCAGTGTCAGATTTGAAATTTGTTGTAGGAGGGAAATCCGAGAGCGGTGCGCAATGCTGAGCTCGCTACAAGCGCGCCAGAATGTAAGAGGAGCCGACAACGTCGCCACTTCCAACTAGAAGCACAAAAATGCGTGGGGTATGTTGAAAGAATGATTTGTGTGCAATATACGTACACCGTCATAAAGATACTGTTACAGCGCCGGCCGCGAAGTAACAACCAGGCAACTGACGGCAGCGGTTCGCCATTAAACGATAACATCTGTAAATTTTATCACATATAAACTACTTAGTAACTGCTTTCAGGTAATAAAAGTCATTCCGTGTATATTCACTGTTATTAGTCCTGTTTCAATCAGATACTGCGCCAATGCCCGCTTGATGATGAAGCGGTTCGAGTTGATAAGAAATCAAGAAGGAAAAGCCATTCACCAGATTTTTGGTTGGTCAATTTTGTGGATAGAAGTTTAGTTTTGAAAACAGAGTTTATATGGCTCCACTCTGCAGATCCATGAATTTTGTTTGCCACATCAGCCACTATAGGCACAACCACGGCTCTCAATGCCCATTTCCTTCACGGCAGTATGAATTTTGAAATGGCAGCAAAGTTGCTGAATATGGGCAGAATCCGGATTGACTGTTATCCTTCAAGTGTGATCCACTGAGACTTGCATTGTCATACTCAGGTCGAACATTCTCAAACACTCTCTTTTCGTAAAATGTATACATTTGTGTCTCGAAAGCCAGTTGAACTTTCGATGCACATTTGATTTCGACTGCTGGATGTGCATCGGCACTTCGTGACTTTCAATATTCGATTTCCCTTTCATTGTACATTCAAATTCGTAGCGTGACTGAGCTTAATTTGGCACTTAAGCTTCAAATGAATGAATAATGAATGAATGTTCTGTAATCTTATTCTAGAGTCTTCATACTTATGTTTAACTTTGCATCATTCTGCGCTGAACCCGCCCCATATGAAGTGAGTATAAGGGGACGGAAGTCACAACTAATCTTCCACTTGGTGTAATTCTTCGCTACTGTTCCCTTTACTAAGCTTCTCATTGTACTATACTTCTCATTGTAATCTCCAATATATCAAGTTTTGCTAGTTTTGTACTGTTACTGTAACGATATACGATAATCCAAGGGCGAGAAGTTTGACACAGAGATAACCAAAAATTGTTCCATGTGGCAAAGTACCCTAAAATTCCATAGTAGGACAGTTTCATGGAGAAGAGCGGTTTGTGCTGGAAAATATTACATCTCCAAGAAGTGCGCTGTTTATCCGTTCTTTTTTATAGAAATAAGACCGCTCTTATCTTTGGAATTTTAGGGCAACTCAAGCATGATCACATTCTTCACTGAACTTCCACTAGACCTACTTGTCAGTTATCGAATAGATCTGTGATAGTCATAAAAAATACTCTATACGGGAATTGTAAAATCATATCAAATTACGTGAAAACTCTGTAACTCATCAAACCTTGGTTGAGCTGGATGAGATCGAAATGAATATCCAGTGTCACAGGAACAAACTACGTAGTGTATAATCAAACCAGGTGCTTCTTGTGTTTTTGCAAAGGGCTGCATGGCTCATTTGTCTGCTTCAGCAGTGAAACAGCGCATAGTATTGAATTACTTTCTCTAATGGCCCGTTCTGAGCGAACTTCTTTCTTTAGCAGAGTTCTTTATTTGTTCGATTGTTTCGGAACCGTGGAAGTGGTTCAGTTGGTGTGAACGTTGTATTCTAGCCAACAAAATATTCCATCCTTATTGAGACGTTTTAAATGCTTATCAATTGTATTTTCCATGGAATCAAGATGTAACGGTACAATAGAGCTCCTATTGTCATTACAACAAATAGTATTGGGCTCTCTCATAAATTCTTTCGCATTTTGATATATTTGTTGATTTACCTGTTACTTATCAGGAAAAAATAAATCAGAAATGATTTTATTTGACCGCCACTTACGGTGTTATGATATTATAGTATACCCAATAGTGTAGAGTGCTGTGCAAAAACGTGTACGTCAGCCGGGATTCTAACCCAGATCTCACTTTTCCGACGCGTTGGTGGTGCAACGGTCAGCATGCGCTCCCGAAAAGAGTGAAATCTGGGTTCGAATCCTGAGTGACGCAAACGTTCTTGCACAGCGCTTTACATTGATTGGTATATTGGGACATCATAACACCGCAAGTGGCGGTCAAATAAAAATGATTTCTGATGATTATTAATACCCAATATCTGTCAACATAAGTGCGTTTAGTGTCCATGGTGACGGCCCCACCAGACCGTAGACGGTTGGCTGCTGACAGATAACGCATTGTAGCGTAGAAAGAGTGCTGTGCAAAAGAGCGTCTGTGTGCAACGGTTAGCATACGCTCCCGGTAAGAGTGAGATCTGGGTGCGAATCCCGGCCGACGCAAACGTTTTTGCGCAGCACTCTACACTACTGAGAAAATAAATTGACGAGCAATATCTTCATCATGATTATCTATGATGTGCAACCATTTACTGACATAATTGGATGCCTACCTCTTAAGAAAAATGAGGCTGGTAATAAAAGACGTCAATAAGGACACCTTTGAGCTGGTTGCATTTTTTGTCCCGCAAATCGCAAATGCTACTTGAAGACGCAGGTTGAATAATATCCTACTGAGCAATATTAGGACTACATCGTGGGTGCGAAGGTGCAGTTCACTTTTACAAAATTGGCGAGTCGACTTTGCAACAGCACGTCTAGCTTTGTCTTGGAAAAGAGCGACTTTGATCCGTTCTAGACGTTTCTCGCACTGCTGCCACCGACTTTCGCAGCTCTTGTCCGGCAACGTCCGCAGTGTTCACTTTTTTACAGCTTCAAAACAGCTTGCCCCACCAATCCAGAGAATGGGTTTTTTAGCCATGCATGTGGTCTGTTATGGGCACTTTTGAAGCACGATACACGTATTTCGGCCTTGCACAGCCTCGCCAGTTGCAGGAATGGTATGATATTTCGTAGATATCAACCGAGCGCAATCAAATGTACAACGCCGCCCATTTCTTGATTTCTTTCACTTTATGGCTCGTGTAAATAGTACGTCTGCGTCTTCTCTATGTAAAGGGGTGGTATCCCCAAAAGGGTTGGCTAAGTCGAGAGGCAATGCGAAACTAATGAAGCTGCCAAGGCCGAAACAAGTGTATTGCACTGCATAAGTGTCCATAACAGAGCACAAGCATGGCTTAAAAATTATTATTGACATTCTGGAGTGCTTGTTAATCGAAGACGACTCTCAACTCAAAGTAATTCGATTAATGAATCGAAATAGATCCTTTCATTATTATTCAAGCCAAATTGTCATGTGGTCTGGTAAGGGCTCATGTACAGCCCGATACACGTGTTTCGTCTTTCCAGACTCGTCAGTCGGGCAGAAGCCGTCGTCTTTTGATATTTTTATAGTCAGTTCTCTCGGAAGCTCTACTCCTTTATAAAGAGTCATCGAAGACGAACGTTTTACAGTCTATTACAAGCCAAAATTTCACCTAACACAGAGTGTTTGCGCACTCCATTGCTCTTTGGCTGGTACTAATAAAGCACTTGAAATAAAGGTACAATATGATAAAAATACCAGCCAAAGAGCATTCGATTGCGCAAATGCACTGTGTTAGGTGAAAATTTTGCTTGACACAGAGTGCAAAACGTTCGTCTTCGATGACTCTCTATAAGGGAGTGGAGCTCCCGAGAGAACTGACTATAAAAATATCGAAAGATGACGGGTTCTGCCCGTCTGACGAATCTGTAAGGACGAGACACGTGTATCGAGCTGTACAAGAGCCCTTACCAGACCACATGACAAGTTGGCTCAAATAGTAAAGAAAGAATCTATTGAAATTTGAGCTGGTCTTAATAAAGCACTCGAAGTAAAGGTATAATATGAATCGAAATACTAAAAAGAAAAGTGAAAAAAAGAAAAAATAAGAAAGCAAAAGAGATCAGAAATGGATAATGAAGCCATAGAATAAGTGTATAGAGAGAGTTACTCAATTTCTTCGATCAACTTAGGGTGTATTGGCTATTCAGTGGAGAGTGCTTTAACTGGTTCAGTTTTATTGGTGGTTTTGCTGGAGTAGTTAAGGTTTGGGTGCTTATTGCGAGTAGCGTATGTTGTGTGCCGTAAGAGTCACTTGTTGTTTTGATCACTCCTGCCACGCGGTTCTTTTACTATTTACTGGATGAAGGACAATGTTGATCCTAAAACCAAGAAACCATCTTCATCGCCCTAATGAACAACCTATAACAAATAACAATTACAACATAACTGCAATTGAGGAAAAAAAACAATCACGACATGCAACACAATGTTAGCAGTTCATGATGATGCAATTGATGTGAGAATAAGTGTAAGATCCCCCGAGCCCCAAATCTTCAGATGAATGAAAGGCGCTACACAATGTAAGGATAACCATTCACATAGACATTATAAAACGACATGATTTACAAGTAAGCTATGACCAGGATGATCTAGAGCCAAGACAGGTGGAAGTTATACCGAGCTACAAGTAGCCTCTCTAGACGAATGGAACTGCTGTGGGTGCTGCTCTTTCCCAAGACACTGCTTCGGTTTGAACTGTGAATAGCTGCTTAGCACAACACTAGCCAAATTCTTTGGAAAACAGTTCTTGGTTGCCAATTGAAAGGCACGAGTCTTTGTGCTGCGCGGGCAGACGGCCGCCTTGTATTCAGACCAGAAGGTGGCTATTGTTGCGCGAATGCATCGGCCCAGTTTGTGTGAGAAACGTGACCCGTCTCATATGACTCACTGCGCAACGAACACCCATAGTGATTACCTGTAAGTAGATGCATTGATAGTCAACAACATAAGAGATAAGAAGAGTAGCACTAATTCCGCTTAACAGCTGCTATGCAGGGCATGTTTCCGCCTCATCAATGTTTTCAGAAGCTTCATCATCACTAAACTATCTTCATTCGAGACTCAGCCAACTTCTTCTTTTAGCCATAATCAAATCCCCTACCTTCAAGTCGATGACCATTTCAAAATGATAAGCGATGATCTCAAGATTACGGAAACTTGCAATGATCATTGGCAAAGCACGGAGCTCGTAGGCAACATAGATGGATCACAAGAAGAAAACACCATGCAGACGAACCGTGAAGATGACCACTATTACTTATATTATACTAATCTTGAGTTTACACGAGCTGAGTAGAATAAGTGGATATTAAGTTCGAATCATTCGCCACTGCGAAAAGGGAGATTGCTCATAGTGAACATTTCATATCTACCTTATGCAGACTCACGAATGGGAAAGTATCTCGATCTCTTATGCAAAAATCAACAATGAATGAGTAAATCAACCATCAAAAGGTAGGACGTACACGGAGTTGAACTACCGACATCTCAATCTGTAGTCGAATGCTCCGCCACTGAGCTATACTCCCGTTGTTCCACAGTAGAAACGACTATTGTCCGTTTCATAGGGGTCATAAACTGATGATCTTCAAGCATTAGTAATGCACTATGAACTCTCGATCCTTAGATTGATGATAATACCACTGAGTCAAGAGAATGATTTGTAAAACAACAATATATCTTTTGAATGTATTGGCCAAATTTTGTCTATACTCTCTCCTAATAATGCTCAAAAGTCGTCGCTACGTAGTCAGGTCCGTGACTTGAGCTTCTCAGCAAGCTTATTAGCAGTCATCGTAATAAAGGTTGAATTTGTAGGGCACTCTAATGCCACATCTAATGTCAATAAGCCTGGGACATCCGTTCAAGAAGAAGGCAAAAAACGATCAAATGCTGGATGTCTGAGACCCGCGCAGTAAAGGAACTGTGAAGTCGGTTGTCCACGGGTGCTTGCTCCTAGCACCTATTAGCTTCAATCTTGATTGACAGATAGATAGAACAAAGGATTCCTAAAGAGGATATCACAGGTTCAAAGATCGCGCCGACTTTTATGGTTAACTTTCAGCACAATTTTAGAAGACACTCTTTAGGCTACACTAACAGGGGAGCCGTGGTCGAGTTGTTGCGATGCTGATCACGGCGCGCGGGGACCAAATCTTACCTCCCAACACTCCCCCAGTTAACACGAAGGGCCCTTGGAACGTTACAGCCAATCTATCCTCGAGATTGCAGGTAGGCGTGCTCAACCAGTATTCTATGACGTTTGAGAAGAAGACGAAAAAAAGAGTGATGGAAGTATTGGGTTGGGCGCAGTAAAAAAAAACACTGTTGGTACTTTTTTGTTAGGCGACGGCAAATGAGTATTTGATCTCATTCGCTGAAAAAGAGACATGGGAGTGTTAATAACCATTCGAAAGCTTGCATCCCTGGCTGGAGCCTTACGTGGCTGATCTTTCAAAACATCTTTTTCAACGCTGTAAGATCCAAAACAAAATTATGTACAAGACCACTTGTTTTTTTTTTCTTATCTCGCTTTTCTCGCTTTCATTTCGCTCATAAAACTCCCCCCTTAGACTGCTAGTACTCTTTCGATAGTATAAGCTTCAAAGAGCTCAAAAAGGTGCTTGCTTCTTGGTAAAGCTCTTTTGATAATGTTGTAAGAGGAAGAAAATATTTGTGCTTTGAACCTTGCCGGACAGAGCTCTTTCTTTAGACTATTAGGAATCGTCCGATAGCGTGAATTTTGATGGTTCATGGCACAATTCTCATGGAGTGATCAACGCCGAGAGCTCTGTCCTTTATCCTTTCACCAGCTAAACACATTGCTAAAGTCAACAGTATTTTGCTTCTTACGTTGCAGAATTTGGATTTTTCACCATCGACTTCAATAATAAAAGTGAAAAGCCATAAAAATATTCAAATTAATGAACCTTGATTTGTTTGCCGAGAGTTTTGCATTGCATACCTCTCATAAATGAAGACTTTAGTCATTTAGTAACTCCTGGTATAGTATAGTTACTAGAGGATCAAAGATGTTAAAGTTTTGTACTCATATTTCTAGAAAAGTTTTTACTTCATCAATTGAGATGAAACTAATGACTTCTCTAATGTGTACCACTTTTTCATTGATAAGTAAACAAGAGGTTTTCAGAAAAATGTGTTCTAAATTCTCTACGTCTTCGTCTACTTCATAGTCAAGTTCATTCAAGTCGATTGTCCTCATGTAATCGTTCTCTCATTATGATTCCTTGTATCATATCACATAGATTAAAACTTCTTGGAGTGAAGTGTCGTTGAATGAAGTAACCTCACTCGAGAGTATCTTTCGATAAACGAAAGTTGCTAATCAGCTGATCGCCCGTTGACAATGGTTGCTATTTCTCGGAACAGTATGGTCTAAAATACTGCGAATTATCTTTATTTCAGGTGTTTTGTTAAGACCACGCTCAAATTTCAATAGATCATTTCATTATTATTTGAGCCAACTTGTCATGTGGTCTGGTAAGGTCTCTTGCACAGCCCGATACACGTGTTTCGTCCTTACAGACTCGTCACTCGAGCAGAACCCGTCGTCTTTCCATCTTTCTCTCCTAATCGAGTGTACAATACTCCGTGTTAGGTGAAAATTTTACTTGACATAGAGTGTAAAACGTTTGTCATTGATAACTCTCTGTAGGGAGTGTAGGGCTCCCGAGAGAACTGACTATAAAAAGATCGAAAGAAGACGAGTTCTGCCCGAGTGACGAGTCTGTAAGGACGAAACACGTGTATCGGGCTGTAAAAGAAACCTTACCAGACCACATGACAAGTTGGCTCTAATAATAATGAAAGGACTGCGAATTATATTAGCAAGCAAATAGCGCTGCTATAATCTTAAAAATCAACTTTCATTTGATATCAGCACCAAACTTAAGCATCTCTCTACTCTTTTGAAATGTTTACGTTCCTGCTTTATCAAGATTATAAGCCTTCAAGAATAATCCAACTTCTTACTATGACAGGAAGAACGTTGTTTCAGTCTCCACTGATCAAGGATTATGTGAATTGAAACATAGTTGTTGAATGATATAACTGATTGCTTATTTGCTCTCACTGTGAGGAAAATCCAGTAAGTGTATTAATTGGCGAATTTGGACGAATGTTCAACCATATAGATGCGAGTACTAGAGCCATGGCTGGATCACATTATCAGCGCGATGATAAGAACGTCTAAACTCTTCACTCACATCACGATGAGTATCGTATAGTGATGAGATTGCTTGTACAAAGGCACTAACCCATTTAGTGCATGACTGGAAAAGCCTTAACGAAAGCTATATAGCTCGCGCGTTAACCTTCTATAACGAACAGGATTGCGAGGGGACGCCACGTGTGCAGGTACCACACCATCTACGTATAATGAAGATAACAAATTACAAGTTGACTAACCATCAGCATTGTTCTACTCCACGAGCACTCAGATAGAATTCGCCTTGTCGACGCATACGCTTCAAGAATAAATTTTGCAGGCAATACTTTTAGACGAAGGATTTGGAACATTAGGGTAATGCTGTGCACATGACGATGATTCACATCCCCAATCCTTATCAGTGCTCTCTCATCACGACTTTCTTGAAGAAGTATGTTCATTCAAGAATCGCACTTACTTTCATGATATAGAATAATTGTAGAGACTGATTAACTAGTTGACAGATCTTACAAGCCAGCCTTATCTTTTCATCCCTCTCCAGCAATCTATCTCCTACGCTCCGGTAGTAGCAGAAGCATCTCAGAAAAAAATCGACGTGAATTCTTCGATCGTGATCGTTGCTCTCACCCAAAAAGGGAACAAGGAAATAGCATTATCATCTGCCGATAACTGTCACACAATTTTTATACTCAAGCGTCTGCTTCTGTAATATAACGTGCTTTATTCATTATTCGTTATTCAATCCATCACTCTTGTCGCATCTATGGCTTCTGTTATCTCATGTCTCCGGACTATACATATCACTCATCTACTGAAATTAAGCTATTCATGCTCTTTGTCAAGTGACTTATAGGAAATCACTACAATTTATTATTATTGACTACTTAATATGTCAGCATTGTTGAGATCTGTCGTACTTCCTGATGTTTCTATTTTTTGAGCTTACAACTACCGTTTTGCACTTCCTTCGCAAAGGAGTTTTTTACTGTTATTATTGCCATTTTTTTCCTTGGAACAATAGTCGTATATTATAGCTGCAAAGATTAATGAATACTTTAGCGTGCTACAAAGCTCTAAATAACAAATAGTCAAAGAAAATTATTTCAGCGTTTGATGAATGAGCAGGAATGGTACGTTCAGTGAACACAAGTCCCGATTGTGTTGAGAGCTCGAATCAAGTTCCAGAACACCTTGTATCAACTAAACTCTTACTGCTTAGCGAGTTCTATTCACTTTCATGGAGCTTCCATTTGCTTAACTAAAGCCTTATTTTACAAAAGCTTTTTTTCCGCATTTGTGGGAGGTGGGTAAAAAGCATTGTTTCAACTCGCTATTTTGTATCATTGATCCATTTCCTTGATTACCTAAGTAATGACTGAGCAGAGATGTGGTTTTTTATTAAATGCAACTACGTGTGTTAATTGATGGTTCGTGAACCTTCAAATGTTACAATGCATGTATCGACTGCAGTAAAATTTCAGTTTCCATCCGGCTTTGTAAATTGTGCGTGGAAATTTTACATTCTTGTATAGTATATACTGATTTCTACATAAATATCGCTCTCCATTCATCTGCAGATAGGGTTTGCATTTTATTCTGTTCTTGATGTACTGTTATGAAGGTAGGTAAGAACAATTGAAGATACGATTTTCCTCGTCCAGTAAATCTCCGTTGCTTGATAACTGACGCTCAGTGGCATCGTCCCATTCACGAGTTGTCGTTTTTTTTTACGATGATGCGTGCCTTGACTCGTGCAATTCCTCACGTATTACCATAGGCAGAGTGAAAGAGGAATCAGGTCGTATACGTATTCATACATGATTGTTACTCCAACGCCAACGGCCATTACCGTAATGGTAGTGTGGCGAATGCCGTATAGTTTAGTTCTCCAAGCACGACTTCTAGTATTGTCTCTTTGTAGTCGAGCTTCTTGGATTTGGACTATCGCTTATCGATGTAATTACAATACAGTATTAGCAATGGAGGAATATTTCAAAAGGTTACAATAGTACATTCAACGGGAACAATAATCAAAATTCGTACGAACGGAAAGTCTAGTCAAAAGGTCAGGAGACTTAAATACACTACACGATTGGTTGGGTTTAGAGGCTAGCTAGCGGTAAAGGACAAGGGATTCAGAGCAAGTATACAGAATATACACTCATGTTACTTTCACATATAAATGTAATAGCCAAAATAGGCTCAGTTACGTGACAAATTCAAAAGTACAAGGAACAACAGTCGACTTCTGACAATTACGAGTACCCCCAAAAGCCATCCAATAATATCGAAAATGCATCAGAAATGCGAATAGCTTTGAATACACTAAATTACATGCGA